TAAAATCACAGAAACAAAAGATAGGCAAAATCACATTGTAACCAAAGAGGACTACCTTTAGGCTTCGTTAGGATCCTACTTTAAGACTCTCTTTATATCATGTTAATTGCCAACTGAGTGCGTCGGTGGCACAGCGGTAGAATCCTCGCCAACCATGCATGTGGTTTGGAGTTCGATCCTCGGCCACCGACTCACTCCTTCGCCTCGCTAAGCCAGTAATAAGCGTGGCGAAGAGGGAAGGTAGGGCATCCCCATCCCGTAAAAATAAACACCACTGCTACTGAAACTTCAATCCTGTAGCCTGAAGCCCTATGTTCCACTGGGAACGTAAAGAAATGAAAAAATTGCCAACTAAAAACGCTCGCTAAACTTCAGGCTAAAAACAGCCATTATGAATATGGACGGATAGTCAAATCATCCACTCAAAGCCCCGTTTGATCTTACAACTAAGTCTTTTTTTAAAACTGATAAGTTCTACGGTCACATGACCATAATAATAATTAAAGAATTATTGTTATTAACAACGTTAGTGTTTTAAATTACACTGAATCAATAATATCGATCGATTACAGTTCGAAAGCATCGGTGAGTGATAATATGCATCACTTTAACACTAAAAAGAGTGTCCAACAGGCCAAGATAGCAATAGTGGCTGGACCGATTTCTTTCACACACACACACACTCAAAGTTTCTGTTGTTTTAAGGGAATCGCGATGGCCTCAGCTCTTCGGAGTATTTCGTATCTGGAGGCCTTTAGCAATTCATTCTGTGTTCGACAGATGATAGAAAGCTGCTCTTCATTACTTTGCTGTCTATTTGGAAGAAGTGACCGAATATAGAACTGTTGATGGTTTTAACTACACTATTGTGTACTGCTACTGAGTGAGTTAATAGTCCTGACGCAAGAAGGCCGAAATCAGAAAACCACCAGGTTCACGATGATACTTGTATTTTTCAAACACAAGGAAAAATCAATGTTACACAAGTGTATGAGCGAATGTTCAAAATGAACGAATCAATAGACAGTCTTAACATGAATGTTAATTATAATGGAATATCGATCCATATATACATAGCAAAATATAACAGACTGTCAAACAAACACACATATTATATGGATACATATCATACACGTTTATCTAGTCAATAATGAAGTTCCTAGAGCAACGACCAAAGTATAATTGGCTCCACACGAGCAGCCGAAATGATAGATACAATAAGAAGTGACTAGCTTAGGTACATCGTCTTTCAATTTTGGAATCACAACCAACTATTAGGACATGTCTATCTCATCAAAACTTCGAATAATATTCATTCAACTTTATTGACACACACGTTACCACTAAAGCATCCTTATCACAACTATGTTTCCTTTAGAACGGACCTGCGTAGATGATTCAACTACATAGAAGTTTCATTATCCTAATTGGCTAAATGTTCAGCGATAGCTCCAAAGTGAAGTTGTGAATTAAGAGGCTTTTCTTCTGATCTTCACTGAGGTTGATTCTCTCCTCTATTTTCAAGGCGAAAACTAGGAATGCCTTGTGCTTTGATCAAACTGAGATTCACAAACAGGTCGATATAGATCCAAAGTTACTAGTTGGTACAAGTTATATACATGATGGTGGACGAAATGACTACTACTAGTACATGTGAACATGATTTTTAGATCTCCGGAGGCGACCAGTCACAGGCAGTTATTTCATTTATAGGGAACTCCGAAGCCCCCCCCCCCTGCATCTCCTCACTGTGACGTTAGCTCTGAAGATATCGCCTAGATGGACAGTGAAAGCTTTATTGAGACCAGAGAACCTAAAAGCGCTGAAGAAGTCATATTTCTATTCCGAACTCTTTGCCACCCTGGCAACAATAGGAAGGACAGAAGAATAACAGAAGAGTAGTACGCCTAGCAAGTCTTCATATTCACTCCCCATCAAGCGTGGCATAGCCATTAAACGAGATTACTTGACGCTTTTACTAAGTCTACTCGATAGTGAGGGCAGTTGGCTCATGTCCAGAGATGTCCACTATGGTTGGACGCGCGGCTTGTGCCCATCTATGGTATTGCTCGATGATGGTACTGCGTCGCGTGGACTGACGGAAGTCATAATTCACAGATTATTGAACTCCATCCCATTGACTGGATGATCAACGGACTGGCTTCGAACCCAAATGTCCTAGAATCAACTCTTGATGAAGGAATCCTGAGTACTCACTGATGATGAATCCCAAACTAAGACGAAACAGGTGCTTAATGATTTATGGTTTTCAATGATTAATCTAACTGATTTCGGCCCATGATGAAATTTACAGGGAAGCTGAATATAATTATCTAAAAAACTGATGAAGTTTGCCTAAAAGCCTGGACAGATGGCTTAAACTTTCGAACATGTTTCTCGACATTTTAAACGCTGAATAACTAGGATAACTCTCAGCAACTTCTACTCACCTGGCTAAAACATCTAAAAACAGAGTTTGACTATGCTAATTAAACTATTTCTCTGGCACAAACTTAATCAGGTAATCCATGTACCTTGATTGAGCACTATGTAGTCTAACCCTTTGTTTGGTGCAGACTGAATTCTACCAGTCAAGTTTTCAGTGTGACGACCATTCAGGGTGACTTTCCATCACGGTGTACTCTGAATTGTTGTTAGATGGTTGAAGACAATCGCCAGGAAGACTGTGACCTAAGTTTTGTGCTTGTTGGCACAAACAGCTCAGTAGTAGCACTGGGTGATCTGTGTTCGAATCTCAGGAGGGATATGAGATCCTTCAGGATTGCAGATACACCTTGGTGGCTGGTGAGTGCCAACAAGGACGAAATAGACATCAAGTAAGGCTTCCTGTCTATTGTTTCCAACCACCTTACAACAATATCCAAACACCTCAACGAGTCAGACTGGTTATTAACTGTTGATTGACACTGATATAGTCGAATGAGACAGGAAAAGATTAATCAATAAGTTAAATCTCCTATTACAAACTGAACTGCTTTCTCGACGTAGAAGTTTGCACAGAAATGCAACAAAGGTAAGGGTAGGGTAAAATGCAAATTATGGTAATGGGACATATGCGGGAGAAAGAGAAATCACACAAAGGTTATTGAGAATTTAATAGATCTCGGAAATCACAAATCAATAAATACATCTGATACAATGATAGCGATTTTTAGCTATACCACCAACAGTCCCAATCCATTGGTTCTTGGCGTCTCGAGGACTCCAACCCGGTAGTCTACATGGTTTAAGCCAACAGCCAAAGACTTTAAGGATTGATAAAAAGTTTTGATTTGAACATCTCGACCCCTTTTCCAGGTGAAACCTATATCGACTAACATCTGAGGGGGAAGGGGATGGCTTAGCATGCACGACTGGTGTCTTAGACACCTTACGTAATCCAGCTTCACAAGCTCACTGATTGATTTTCCTTCCCCGCCTAACAGCCTACTCCTAACTTCAGTATCGCCCACCGTACTATGTCACCTAACACGGGACATAGATCGTGGGAGCTCAATTGTTAAAGAAAGCTAACCTCTTAATATTCTCCACTTTCAACGGCCTTGTCTAACAGCTGTGAAGATGGATGGAGCGAACTTCTGCTCAGTACAGATATTCAATCATCGAGAACCGGATATCATGTATCCCATTATGGCTGTGAATGGTTATTCAAATATACTTTCTATAAAATACTCCTGTAGGCCACATTACAGAAAGCACCGAACTACACTGTGCCTGGTACACAACCAGTCACCGCTCACCAACTATAATGCGCTAAATGGTTATAAAGTACAGTTAGAGGAACAGAATCCTCACCTGTATGAAAGACATGGAATAAGGAAATGTTTTAACTCTCTCCTCTCACACTCATATTTATCCACTGTAGTTTTATCTCCATTTCTTCCATATGACCTTTAAGCCTTTGGCGACTCCAAATGATGCAGTTCTGTACAAGACTCAGCACTCATCTATCTTCAAGGGTTCGCTTGTAAGGATTAAATTTGTTTTTTCGAATTTGACCACGGATCGATATCAGTTAGAGAACCACTGAAAACCAGGGAGTACCGGACAGCTATTTCATCCTAATTTTTGAGAATCATAGGCAGCACGCCGTGGTCAAACTCGAAAAAACAAATCTAATCCTCACAAATCAACTATTGAAATTTAATCTGATGCTCGCTAGTGACTTGCTACAGGACGAAGTTTCCTGGATTTCTATTGAGAAGTCGTGACCAGTGAGGTCCATCCAGTCAAGTATGAGGATGGATGTCCCACCGACGAATCTGGTTGGTGGTCGTGCTAAATCACCAATTGGTAGAAGTTAGAATTCATAGGCTGGCTATTGAATCAGGTTTCAGTAACTGAATAGTATACGAGCTTGCCTTATAACCGGAAGGTCTTAGGTTCGAACCCCAGTGGGTGCGTACTCCCAATGATTCCCAAAAAACTAGGATGAAATAGCTGTCCAGTACTCCCTGGTATTCAATAGTTCTCTAACTGATATCAATCCATGGTTAAACTCGAAAAAAACAACTCATCTACCTACCTTACCTATCCCAATAGTCAAGACATCTATAAACATTCAAGCGTATAGCAGTCAGGAAAAGGACTGAAGTACTTTATTTACACGTATACATGAACAACAACATTTAATGTTGATAAAAACAAAATAGTGATTTTTCTTTGATGAATTTTGTTCAGAAACAACTTCGAAAAAGGATTTTATTTTGTCTAAATTTGTTTGTTTTTCATATGTATACACAAAATGGACTGCTAAACAAGCATTCTTCAAGTTTCTATTCTTCCCCTCCCCCCGTCGCTTTCATCTTTCTTCTCCCTTTTTATCAATAGCAAGGTAGTAGCCAAAATATCCCGTTGGCCAAGGTGTAGACACAGTGCGAAATTTGATTTTTTTTGCTCTTCGAGTTTTGAAAAGTGCGTGAAACAAAAATAAGCAGCCTGGTAATAAAGTCAAACAAGCGAAAGAGGCAAAAAGCTTCTCAGCGATGGAGTTTTGTTGACATTGCACCGAGTTTATTAGTAGTGGTACTTGTACTGCCAATTTTATGGTTGCCTTTAGACAATTTCACCTTGCTAACCTTGGACAACTTGTATGTTTGACGACTATGCGGTCTTGAATAGGAGTTGACATATAAACCTGCGATATCAGGTGTTGAGCATTGATATTGTTGTTTTAAATAGACACGTGGATAATGGCGATTGTTTTCAGGTGGTAGGCTGTTTGAATTCTGAAAACTTTTAACAGACTTACTGTACTTCTCACTAGTACTACTCCCTTCAGATTGTCCTGTTTGACTAGGTATGCTATACTTAGCTAAAATGTTCGGCTTTGTCCTATTCGTCTGGCACTCACTAAGACTGCCAATATTTGGCGGAATATGCTTTCCAAGAGCAAACAATGTCTGATGCTGTCTGGAGTCATTCGATGGAAGTGAATGAATTGGAAAATTTGTGACATCGTTCACCTTAGCGCCACATCTTATTGATTTTTGAGTATTTATCCCAGGCAGAGCAGTTTCACCGCTTAATTGATTACCTTTACCAACATGATGATTATTCCAGCCTGGAGAGAGAATAACTCCACAAGTTGATGAATCAGGCAATTCTCTATCCTCATAGAAACATGTGATTTTATCTCTTTCCTCGTCTGTCACTTGAATACCATCAATAAATTGTAACTTTGGGATATAATGAACTAGAATTAATCGATGAATATTTCGTGAAGCGATTGGATTATCAGTTAACGAGATTTCAAATAGATTACGCTGATTTTGAGCAAATTTTTCAAGATCATTAAAATCATTCAGTTTATTTCCACCAATATAAAGACGTTTTAAATTCTCTAATTTACTTAAATTGCTTAATTCACGTAAAGAATTACTCTCCAAATGAATTTCTTGTAATGTCCAATTGTATAGAAATGATAATTCAGTGATATATTTAATTCGATTATTATCTAAAACTAATTCTTTGAGTTGATTCAATCCTTCAAGGCCAGTGATTGTAACCAGTTCATTATCTTGTAGAAATAAGGCTTGTAAACATGCCATACGATGAAATTGAAATTCTTGTAATGAACGTATACCATTCTGTGCAAGATGTAAAACTCTTAAACAGGGATAAATTGTTTGTGTTGATCGATATAAACTAACATAACGTGATTCTATTGAATTTGTTAATTGAAAATTAGAATTCATAGCCAATGAACAGATATTTCGTGAAAATAAACCTTCAATATTATTCTCATTTAAACAAATCACTTTTAAATTTGTTAAAAATACTAAACCACCAAAAGAGGTTAAATAATTTTTTTCTAAATTAATACTTTTCAAATGAATTAATCGATATGGATCTAAAAAATCAATTACTTTAAGCATACATTTAGGTAAATCCAGTCGGACAAGATTTGAAAAATCATCATTCTCTAAATATTCCATTAAATATTCACATGAAAGTCTTCCATCAAATAATTCTTTCGATTGTACTATTTCCATTGGATTCACTTCAATACCATCCAGTGATTTTATTGATTTTAAATAATATATCACTTGTAATCGATAATTATTGATTTGTTCAACAATTAAATTTCCTGATAAATCTAATATACTTAAATTTGGTAACTTTTTTAAATATAATATATTTTTAATATCTTTTAATTTATTATTACCTAAATATAATTCATTTAATTGTTTACAACAATCGATACCATTTAATTTGGCAATATTATTGCTTCTTAGTCCGAGTACGCGTAATCGACATAAACATTCAAGTTGAAAATCATTGATCACCTTGATCATATTATTTCCAAGGTGTAAACATTCAAGTTTTTTTAAATGACAAATATTTTCTATGGATTCAATGAAATTGAATTCAAGGGATAATTCAATTAGATTGAAACATGAGCTTAAACCTTCAATTTTTGTTATACTATTATGATTTAAGGATAAATACTTCAAATTGGCCAAACTGTCTAAATTTTGAATTTTAAATATATTTAAGGATTCTAAGCATAGAGATGTGATAATATTGAAATTGATGAGTGAAAGACATTCAGTTGCACCGTTTAAATGTTTATTATAGAAGGCTACAGGATATATCGTTAGATTTTGATAGTATTCACTGTTGTCACTGGTACTACCAAGGACGTTGATAGTAGTACCACCAACGGTTGTTAGATTGACGGCATTTGTCGTATAGCTGAACATATTTCTAATCATTTTTGGTGTTATTGTGCATGAATCTATTAATTTATTGGCTGTTTCTATCTCTGTTGAACTAACAGCTTGACAATTGAAGTATTTTATGTGAGGTAACTTTGTCAGTGTGTAAGCACGAACTAAATTTTTAAGTTTCCAAGGATTTTCACGAAGTGACAACTTTTCCAGTTTCGGTGTAGACATGTTCAGCGTTGAAACAACATCAAATATGCATACGAGTTGATTGTAGTCAGCAATAAGTTCAGCAAGATTAGGCATTTTATTGAACGATTGTAAAGAGTTGAATTTATTATGACTAATAATCAATGTTGATAAACTGTTACACTGTATTACAGGTAACTTTTGTAATTGACAGTGAGTAATACTCAATAGGCGTAGATTGAAAATTTTTTGAAAATTTATACTTTTGACAAGTTTGATATCAAATATAGTTAAACTATGATCGTTGGCATTGTAACCATCTAACTCTAATCTGCTCGTCATCATCAGGGATTGACTTGAATCCTTTGCCACCATTGGTGGAGTTGTTTTAATAATCAAGTTTTGATCAATTTTCATTTCATCATTGAACACTTGTTGCTGACTAGAATTTACTTCAAAATCAGAATTGTTATTCAATTGACCGAGTAAAGAATCTCTAGGATTACCTTTCAAAATATACTCCACTTCGACTAAGAATTCAGGGCAGAGGTATTCGCTTTGAAGGGGAATAGGCGTTATCTCTCTTGAAGTGGGACATGTACAGCTTGGAGTTGTTTTATAAAAAGTGATAGAACTACTCATATCTATTTCTGATTCTTCATTTCTTGGACTGTCGTCATTATTACTATTACTGGTATTGATTTTATTGCCAGTACCATTGGCTTTACGTACTTTTAGCACTGAATTTCTGACTACAAGTAAACGAGCCGTGTAATTATATTGACTGAAATTTGGTTCGCCGATATCATGACATAACTTTTGTAAATTTGCACTATCCGCTGTATTTATACTATTTGTCAGCTTGTATTTATTGCTGTCATGAAAACCAACACGCATCACATCGAGATACACCTTCAAATCTTCCGAATTCTCAGGGCGGATCATAAACAAATAATCAATAAGTGTGGATCGATCTCCAGACAGCTCGCCTAATGTAGGCCCTCTGTCACCATTTTCTGTACAATCTTTTTGACTAGTAGCCGACTGAAATATTGTATTACTTATCTTATATACATGAAGAACTTTGATTCCACTCACAATCGATCCAAGAGTATCATGACAACAGAATCTTGAGATGAGAAATTCACTACAATAAATGAACCAATCATTTGCTACACTGCCTTCTTCAATCTCCAGGTAACCAAACATTTGTAACTCCAACTCGTATAAACTCTGTCTAATATCTAAGTGTTGTTTAAGTCGATTGCACAGGACATCACACTGCAGCTGGTATTCATGATTTAAATTCTCCCAATAAACAATTCTACGTGTAAATTCACTGGTGACATATGATAGATTATTCATTTCATTAGATCCACTACTAACACTAACACTTTTCATCTGTTCCATGTGTGAACTCTGTATTGATCTTAACGTTTTATCCATTAGTTTAATATGGGCATAAACTTTATTTCGTAAATTATGTAGAAATTCTTTTATAGAAAAAATTTTTCTTTCAATTCGTGTTCGATAATTTTCACATTTCATCATATAATAACTTTTCTTACTTTGAATAATACATTTTACTGCACTTTTTAAATCTGCATAATCAATATTAATATGATCGATTTTACATAATTGAGGTAATCGATAAATCAAGATAATTGGTAGGTTAGGATTATTACATAGTGGATTTTTTAAATATTCTGGTTCATTAATACACAATGAAGTGAGATGAGGTAGTTTTGTTAAAGTCGAGATATCATCAGGATTCCATAGTTTATTCCCTGAAAGCGATAACTCTTCTAACTTTTGATTACATTTTAGGCTATTGTTTAAGCTAGTAATATTATTCCCCGATAAGTTGAGTTGTTTTAACGCTTTTAAATCGTTCAAACCTTCAATAATACTAATTTGATTATCATTAAGCCATAAACATTCAAGGTATCGATTTCCAGAGAGATTTTCAATCTTTTTAATATAATTTTCATATAAATATAGCTCAGTAAGTTGTTTGCATGAATTCAAATTTTCAATTTTTACAATTTTACACTCACATAACCATAATTTTTTCAAATTTGGGCATGTTTCTAACTTAGCTATGTGATTGATTTCTTGAGAAATAATTATTAATTCTGTAAGGAATGGAAAACTTTGTAAAGAGATCCATTTTGAAAAACCAGAGAATAATATATATAAGATATGATTACGAAATGTGTCTACGGAGAGATTTTCAGAATGGATACCGTTGACTGTACAGATTTCATGCAGTATATCTAAAGATGCTAGATCCATTAAAACATTTCAGCGGAATCGATCGATTATGGTGGGACATACATCGAATACTTGAGAATTGGAATCTTTTGGTTGACTGGTAGTAGTAGTTGTTATTGTTGTTGTAATAAGGATAATATTAGTTAGGCTGTGTATTTCGATGACCTTTCTCGGCATAACTCAAACTTTTCTGAATTCATGATGCTTCACTTGTGTTCGCCTTTATCTACTTTACTTCTCTGCCAGGAGGAGATATTCTACGAAAAAAATTAAGGAAAACAGAAGACTGAGAAACAGAATAGTAGAATTTGTACACTGTGTTAGAACATTATTCCATATCAGTTAAGTGTATTTGATATTAAGCACACAATAGTACATTGTTAATCAGGGGACGACATTTTGAGCACAACTCATTCCTAGACAAACTTTTTCGGCTTACGGATCCACCATAGACGGAGAGTCCCCAGACTTACAAAATATCTTCAAGTTGTCCCCCGGCTGAAAAACTATTCAAAGAGGGATGGACAACCTATAGCAGTTATCCGTGAGGTCATGATTTTTGCATGCGCTGATATGGTAACCTGTTTGGGCAGTTTTGATTGGTTTATTTTTGGCTTCGATTTCTGAGGTTTCGTAAACTATGTATTTTGTATTACTATAGTATTACTACTAGTATTACTACATATACTATGTATTTTGAACAATAAAATGTTGTCGTGGCTTTCAAACTTAAATTTGACTTTTATGTCTATCTTACCATTGGAGGGTGCGGAGGGGCGAGTATTTTCAAGTGACTAGTTGGTTATGGTGTTGTGTCTGAAGGTACATTCTAGTTATGTTAGGTGACAAATACAAATTAGTAACCCTGTGTTATAACAGGATTTGATAGGCTCATGTAAGGAAAATAATATATTTCGGTAACCACTGGAGACCATGGGGCCATTAACATCAAATCCATCTACGTCAACAACTCTTCATCATTACTCATTCATAACTCCACGAGGGAATGAACTCACGACCTTTGAGTTACGTAAGAAGCTCTGTGATATTACAGCCACCCGACCCATCAACTCTTACTTGAGTCAATGTGAAATATGTAGCGCCGCTGCCAGCCAATTTCTTCAGCGATTCTATTTCCTCATAGACAACTTCGTGGACCCTACTGGTCACGACTTCTCACCAGAACCTCCCAAAGTTCATCCTGCAGTTAATCACTAGGGGGAGTAGATTAGATTCAATAAATTCCAATGCGTACTCCTGAAGAGTCTCAAAATGAGACGAAATATCTACCTGATGGGTTTTTAGTGGTTATCTAGCTGACGTCAGTGATTGATCTAACTTAAAGCCAATAAAAATCCTGAAAAGCAATACTTGAAAACTAACATAACTTACAAAATACCATGTAATAACTGTGAGTTCGGTTACACAAGTCAAAAATACTAAGTTGGGTTCAGTTAGATTATTGAAACATTGACATTTAACTGGGTCTAGAACGACAGTCGCCACTAGGTTAAGTAGTCGATAAAAGCTCTCACCCATTGTTTTGCTTGAACTTACATGTAAACACACAATGGAGTCGTATACAGTAAAAGTGTGGTGAGCGCTGGCTGTTAGTCAAAATTGGTGGACAGTAATTTACGTCAGCGTTTATGTCCCCAATATTGGTCGTGAGAAAAATGAGAATAAAGGCTTCGCGTAGGCGGATACAGTTAACGTATAGATGATCTGACATTCAAAAAACAGCCACAAAGAAATGCAAGGTTAACTTTCCGTGAGAAACAACCAGTCAGAAGACTGTGTTTGCTTCCTAACAATAATCTATAGTAATGTACATGAAATTCTATAAATATGTGTTGATTTTCTTAATAAATGATCTGTTTCCTGGCCCTTGTCTTCTGTTGTTACAAAAGCATTAACAAGTAATCTAGTTAGGCAGGAACCCAGGTTAATCACAGAATCTTTGTTCATCGAATCAACAACGAACATATGCAATAGAAACGATGCATTACCAGTCCAAGATAGATATATTCCATAGTGTAATGAATCGGCAGGCATTTCATCGTGAAGTACAACCCACCGTGTTTTCCAGTCACTTTCTAGTACCAACACTTGGTTTTGGTCATATTTGCTAAACCTTTGGAATTGCTCCTAAGTGAAGAACAAGGGCGGAGAAGTAGGGATGGCATTGCTTGTCATTGCCACTCTCAAGTTATATTAGGCCATCACTGTATTCTTTAGTGCGGTTTGAAGTAATTCGAAATGTGAATGGTTCTTTTTACTAGTTATCGTAGTCTGTATATCCTATCTAAGCGTTTTACAGCTATGACACATCAGGACTTCTTAAATGACAACTTAAAAGTGAAAACTGATCAATCCTAAAAAAATCTAACACCCAGTCCAGCCAATAATGAGAAGAATTATTAACGTGTTGCTGTAATCAGTCGATTAAATAAGCTCTTAGTGTGAGCAGTCGATCACTATACGAATAATAATAATAAGGGATTTATCAAGAGAATCTAGTGCATTCATGTCAGCTGGGGTTAGTGTTACCTCTTAAAGGCCCAGAAGCGCACAATTAAGACTAAAATACGTGGATACAGAAGCCTTTCAAGCCTTCAAGAATGATAATAACTAGAGGCATGTCAGCTGTAGCTATAAGTCATTAGTTATTATTATTCCCTGATATTCTCAGTGGAACAAAAGTCTTTATTAGCACATGTTCATTTCGTCCTGTTTGCTGCAGCTTAATTTAACTGGCACCACGATTACCCATGAGCTCTCATCTTCTCTTTGTTACCCACGAATCCATGTCCAGCTCGTCGTTTCTCATTAGAGCGATGACCTGAAGAACGACGTCACCCAATACTATATTCAGAGTGCGCCCAACCAACTTCCATTAACTTGGACATATTTATTGGACAACAGGTTTTTGGTTGGTTCAACGCCAGACCTTGTTCCTTTCTGACCATCTAATCTTCATTATGGAGCTAGCGCAGGTAGATACTGATGAAATTTTGAAGCCTGTCTGAAATGCTTTCAGTGAGTAATTCACCTATTCCTCACATTTAAAAATCACCAGATTTGGGGTACAGTAAGGACAAAATCTTATGTCATAATCATTCCACATGTAGAACTGCCTTAGAGGGACCATGAATTTGACTGGTGACACCTACCAAGAATTTACACTAGTACAGCCAGAAAATTTCCCTTGGGTTCTAACCCAAAGTCTTCAAACCAATTTCTTTGAATCCTGAGTGTGGTATCTATTCTTTGCAGTTATCTTAGATATGTCACATGTGTACAAGCAACCAAAATGTGAATAAACACGTACGTGTTACGTAACTTAACGACCCACCCCAGCTAGCACTTCCTCTAAGACGCACTACAAAAATTTCGGGCTAAAATCTTCAGATACGTTAAAGAAAGTGGTGAAGTTATCCGCAGTAGGACGGAAGTCAATGCTAGCTAGGGTCAAAATTTCGATATTCGACTGCTGAGTTTACACTTTCACAATAGCAGGAAGGTCCTGTTTCCCTGTTAAAATTTTAAAGCCACCGAAAATAAGATTTAAAAGAGGCAAACTTGTGCGCCATAACGCTTCTGCTTACACAATTTCCCCACCAGAAAATTCACACGTTTCTACCATACTATAAAACGCGGGGCTTGGTCAATCAGGTGGTTACTGTTTAAAACGAATTCAGGGTCAAATTTCTAGTTTGAGAATAGAAAACTTTGGAACTAGCATTAATATCCTTCCAGTATACGCATTTTTTGCAATGTTAGTCCTATGAATAATCGACAGTACATGTAAATATTTTCAACAGTTAATTTCAACTATGAAAGCCAGTATTCTGCGATGATCTGGTCCATTTTTAGTCTCTGCCTCCCCTTATTTATTCCATGTGTTGAGGAGGAAACGATTTGTACCCCTAGTCAAATTCGTGTCTATTAATCTAAAAATGTTTGTGCTCAGTAATTAGTTGCCTGCTTTGAATTTCTAGTCCTTGTAAGCTGGGTGAGGATAAGGGCTATCACGATGTATTTTCGCACATAGTTTCGTTTATTGTGTTCATGCCCGCGTTATAGGCGTCTATGTTTGTGAAAACAGGATGTCTTTAATTAATTTTAGGCTTCTGTAGTCAAAAAAAACGATATTTTCTCGTATCATGTTGCATTAATTCGTTAAAGTGTCTTGAAATCCCAGATAAATTTTTGCGGAAAAAGGAACACACTTAAGGAAATTATGCATACGAACGGCTTTTGTTTTTGTTTAGGGCCTTAGAGGTTTGATATTTAAGAGTTATTTGTTAATTTCAGTTTGTAAATTGACTACTGGCAACGGTTAATGTCATAGCAGTTATTCTATGAGATTCAAGCCTTTGACTGGGAATTAGCCCACAGACACAAGTTAAATATCTTTTTTGCGGTGAGTGAAATCTTTCATGATACATCAATAAAATCATATGATGAATCAGACGATAGTCTGAATTTCGCGGTGATTACGTCCATTTTATGAGTTGCTTAGGTGGATTTCTTTACTCTGAGGTGTTCCACTAGTGGAATTTTCATTGTCACATGGAATGTTGAAGACCGTCACTTCCTAGCCAGTCAAGGGACATCAGCTTATCTTGATATCAGTGTCCATTGGGACAAGAAGAATACTATAGATGGTCCTTCTGAAATGTAACACTGCCTACAACTAGCATTGCGTTTCTGACGAAAAGTGGCTCGCAGCTGCATCCTACCTACTAGTACACGTGTTGCGTAAACCACGTCAGTCCTGATGATCATCTATCTTCAGATCACCAATGCAATACTGAGCCCCTTCAGGAATTATCTGTAGCTATGAAGGATATGAAAGTTGCACTTATTAATCATGCTTTTAACTATTCAATATAAAACAGATTATCTAGAGAGCCTTTGTGTTGTTCAGGTTAAAATGCTTAAGCACATGCAGTTACTGCATGCTATTGTTGATAAAAATGAGCATGACACCAAGCTTCCGATCAAATCAGTAAGAA